TTTTGGACCATGAGTTCAAACGGGGTCAAGTCGACACTACTCTTTTTATCAAGAAAGATAACCAAGACATCCTTTTGGTTCAAGTTTACGTAGATGATATCATATTCGGTGCTACTAACGAGGTTTTGTGCAGGGATTTTTCCGATATGATGCAAAGTGAATTTGAAATGTCGATGATGGGAGAATTAAAGTTCTTCCTTGGGCTGCAAATTAGACAATGCAAAGAAGGAACATTCGTGTGTCAAACGAAATATTGCAGGGAATTGCTTAAAAGATTCGATGTTACCGAATCCAAATCCATTGACATACCAATGAGCACCTCTTGCTATCTTGACAAGGACGAAAAAGGTAAAGAGGTAGACATCAAGCGCTACCGAGGTATGATCGGCTCTTTACTTTATCTTACCGCGAGTAGACCGGATATCATGTACTCCGTTTGTATATGCGCTAGGTATCAATCATGTCCTAAAGAGTCGCACTTGGCTGCGATCAAAAGGATAATGCAATATCTCGCGGGCACGTTGAACGTAGGTCTTTGGTATCCCAAAGGTTCAACGTGTCATCTTATTGGCTATTCCGACTCGGATTTTGCAGGTTGCAAACTTGATAGGAAAAGTACCAGCGGTACTTGCCACTTATTCGGTCATTCGTTAATCTCGTGGTTTAGTAAGAAACAAGTTAGTGTTGCACTCTCCACCACCGAAGCGGAATATGTCGCTGCGGGAAGTTGTTGTGCCCAAATTCTTTGGCTAAAACAACAACTAGTGGATTTCGGCCTTATACTTGATCACATCCCTATCTAACGAAGAACCCCGTTCTTCACTCGAGGACTAAACACATAGAAATTAGGCATCACTTCATACGAGATCACGTCCAAAAGGGAGATGTCACAATTGAGTTTGTTGAAACGAATCTTCAATTGGCGGATATTTTCACGAAACCCCTTAGTAGGGAGAGTTTCTTCCACATTCGGAACGAACTTGGCATTTTGGATATCTCTATGAACTAATCCATTCTTTTTATTGAATATACTAATTTGAGCGTCGGAGGCGCGATAAATTCCTTTTTGCAGGGCTTTGATTGCAGGTATCTCTTCCCTTGGTATTCAACCGAATTGGACTTGATGATTTTTCTGTCAAACAAATTTTAATCGATTACTTCTCGAAGAGAAATCGATTAGTCACCTCTGTCCCTCTTAATCGATTACTGACCTTTTTTAAAATCGATTAAAATCCTTCAAGGAAACCTTCTTTAGCTCTGCTTCACTTTTAATCGATTAATCCTGTTAAATTAATCGATTAGACCCGTCTGTCCATCTTAATCGATTAACCATCTTTGTTTAATCGATTAATAGCCTGAAGCGCAAACGTTAGTTCTGCTCCACTTCTAATCGATTAATTAGTTTAATTTAATCGATTGGCCTCGGCTGTGTTCCTTAATCGATTAAATAACCTTTTTTAATCGATTAATATTCGATTTTTGCTTCTCTTTATAATCAGACAGTGCCTTCGTCTTCATGGCCATCTCAGTTTTACAGAGACCGTGCGAAACCCTAGCTCTTTCCCTTCTCCGATATTCTCAAACTTCATCAGAAATTTCTCAAATTTCTTCCATTTTCTCACCAAATTTCATCAATTTCAAAGAGGAAAGATGCCAAGGTGAAAGAACGCTTCATCGCGTCAAGAATCGGCGGCAGAAGAAGGTGAGAGGCCATGGCGTCGTGAAGGGAGCAAGTACATCCACATCCAAACCGGACTCTCCTTCAACACTGGGGCTTCAGCCGAGAGGTTCCACAACATCTTTCTCACGAAGGAGATCGTCTCACCTAAGATCGTGAACAAGGACCTCTTCAAATCGGCGACCTATGCCCCGAGTAAGTGTCTTTTCTCTCAGCAAGGATTGCTTCGTTTCATCCATTTGACGTATGAATTCTTTTGTCCAAATCTTATACGTCAATTTTATGCAAATCTTCGTACCACTAAGGGAGACTCGCCATCTCTCATTTCCTATGTTGACGGCAAAACCGTTTTCATTGACGGTGCCGGTTTGACTTCTCTGTTTGGCCTTCGTCGAGGTGAAATTACCAAAAACTTGGATGAAACATTCCAAGATGAGGCAATTTGGCGACAACTCGGGTTAGATCATCGTGACCTCAAGTTTAGAAATTCTAGCAACCCGAGTGTCATTAACCTCACTTTAATTCAACGTGTCCAACAATACATCTTCTTTTATGTTTTGTTGCCCCGTGATTCGAACCATGGCGTTGTCAACAAGGATGATATTCGTTTGTTTCACGTCCTGTTGAACAATGTCAAATTTGATTGGGTTCACTTCTTTATCGTTGCACTTAGTGATGGCACTCGTTTTTCCCATCTCTGTTTTGCCATCCCCATCATGCATATCCTTGCACATTGCAAAATAGACCTTACTCCGGACACTCAGGTGCCGGTCAAGAAGACTTGTTTCATCGCTGAAGCCAAGTTTTCCCGGATCGTGTACCGTGAGGAGGGCGATGCTGCACCAAATCTGGACCTGATAGTCGCAGACGAAGAAGAGAGCCAAAACGAGACTCAAGCTGAGTCATCTCGTGCCGGAGGAAGTCGAGCCACGGAGCGCGTCACTCGTCAACGTAGGACTCGTCCAAGAGAAGAAGCACTGGAACCTTCTTGGGTGAAGAGGATCTTCGATACTCTCACGTTCATCCGAGATGACGTTCGCCAGCTCAACGAGAGGATGACTCGTTTTGAGCAATCCCGATCCTACTGTGGCCCGTGTCACAGCTTTAGCGGAGGAGCTCGTCCGGCAAAACTCTCTTTGATTGTTTTCCTTCTGTCTTAACTTAATATGATACATTGTTATTTGCTATTGTTGTTGTTAATGACTCTTTTGATGAATGATTATGTTGCCATTATGTATTTGTTTGTTGGTTTGGCAATATGGTTCTCTTTTAGAACATATTGTTGTTAGAATAATAGACCAACGCTAGAGGGGGGGTGAATAGCGTTTGATCAAGAAATCGCAGGAATAAAAAATGAATAAACGAGAAGTAAAGAGAAGAGTAAGAGGCACACCGATTTTACCCTGGTTCACCACAACTTGTGGCTAATCCAGCCTCCCGAGAGACTCTCTCAAGCTACACTACTATCTCGTTAAGCTTAACGGTGCTTAACAAACCCGTACAACTTGAGTGTTCGACTCACACGAACCTCAACGAACCTTCGAAGGAAACAACCCTTCCTTCGAACAACAAGAGAAATAATTTCTCTTGTCAAGTGTCTAAGAACACTAAACTCACTCAAGAACAATACTCTCTTTTAGAGTGGATACTGAGTAAAGTAATACGCTCAAGAACACAACACAAGCTTCACAAAGATGGCTCTCAAAAAGCTATGAATAAAGGATGAATGATTTGCAATGAAGGAGTAGAGATTGTGAAGTAATGTGTTGATGTAAAACAGACCCAAACACCCCATTTTATAGTGGAAAAATAGGCTCCAACGGATCAAAACATTTAAGGGGTGATTGGCACAATTTGTGGGATTTGATTAAATTTGGATCTGCTGAAATTCACCGAGACAGCGCTGTCCTAGGCTTGGACATCGCTGTTCTAGGCTTGCGTTTTGAAAATTGGGAAGCAACGGTCATGCCAACAGCGATGTCCAATACTCCTACATCGCTGTTTTGGCTGTTGACTTCCAAACAATGAATGTTTTAGCCTTAAATCCCTTCCAACGGTCAGGTCCCTACATCGATGTTCAATACTTGAACATTGCTGTTGCTGGGTCAACATCGCTGTCCAAAAACTTTCTGCCAATGCACTATATTTTTGCTTAGGTTGGACAGCGCTGTAGGGAAGGCTACATCGCTGTTCCAGATGTTTCTGGAAACCCAACCTTGGCCTAACAGCGATGTCTAATATGCAACATCGCTGTTGGAAGACTTAACGCCAAACCATGGTTTTCAGCTACCCAAGCCAGACAGCGCTGTTGGTTGCACCAACATCGCTGTTGGGCTGGTTTAGCCAGACCCTTAGTTGGTTTAGTCATGCCGTTAGCCGATGTCAAAAACGTAAGTTCTCCAAAGTAAAAACCAAGTGTTGAAAACATTTGTTTATTGCAGTTTGCTAAGAAATCAAGTAAAACAACTCAAAAGTTGTTTTTGAATTGTTTTTGTTGGAGAACTATTTAAATATGCTCAGAAGTAAAAACCAATCATAAATAGTTGAAAACCACTTGGTTGGTTCGGATGCCAAAAACCAATGCCGAAAACCGAAAGCCGAACGCCGGGTTCTGAAAGCCGAACACCGGATGACTTGGTTTTTGGTTTAGGCGAACTCCAAGTGTTTTTAGGCATGTTTAAAACTTAAGAAAAACATTTTTGAATATGCAAAAAACATTTCGATGAAAAGAGCCTAGAGAGCCAAGGTTTGAAAGTTTGTGCCGGTCTTGATCACATTAAGACCGACTCAATACAATTCTAAGTCTATGTTCTTGGTTCTTGGTTCTCAAATCATCATGCCATGTTCCTTCGCCTTGGTTTTGCTCACTTTAACCTTGTTATGTCACGGCGGTTTGGCATTATCAAAACCTATCATAAAACGAGCACGGTTTAGTATGACGTACACGTAAACCTATGTTCCAACAATTTCCCCCTTTTTGATAATGGCAAACAAGACGGTGATATGCATACTAAGGGATATTTGATTTTCAAAAAGTTGTGAAAAAGTTCCCCCTTAATTTGTGCTTAAAAGAAATTAGTCGGATTAAAATCAAACGGTCTCGTTTTTAGAGGCGTTCCCCCTTAGTAAATGCATAGCCCTTTTCTTCCCCCTTTTGACATTAACAAAAAGATAAAAGATAATTTTATTTATTAAAGGGAAAAGGCGGAGTACAATGGAAGTAATAATAATAAAATGCAAGACAATTGAAGAAAGAAGAGATAAAAATTCTAGGTGTGGCCTAGTCTTCGTCTTCGGTTTCCTCCTCGTCATCGTCGACGTCCATCTCATCACCGTCAACGGCGTCATCAAACTCGTCCTCGTCCGGGGAGTTTGACGAGGCGTAGGAGCCATCCTCTTCGTCCTCGTCACCGTACACTTGCCCAAGGAACGTGCCTTGGTACGGTGGGGGGACGTAGTTGACGCGTTGGAAGTATGCGTTCATGACGTGCCCTTGGCGTTGAACAACCTCGTCGAGCCGCTCAACGTAGCCATCCATCCCGTCAACTTTGAAGTGAAGCCGGTTGAGGGAGTCGGCGATGGAGGCAAGGTTGGCCCGGGCCTGGGGTTCGGCTGGGCCAGCAGCAGAACGGCGCCGTGGCGCGGCAGTGGCAGTGGCAGGTCCGGCGTTGTCCGACCGCTTCTTGAAGGTTTGGGTGCTGATCGCCCAAATCTTCGTGGCCTTCGTGAGTGGGCCAACGGTGGTGGTCACCTTGAACCGTTCTAGGATGTCCATCACCACGAACAGGTACGGGAGGAGGTGATCGTGGTCGCTGGACGCTGCAATCGTCATGTTGATCATGACAAACTTTGCCCAATTGATTGGGGCCGAGTGCATGATCGCATGGATGAGCTTGAGGTCCTCACCGGACATGATTGTGTGCCCATGCTTCCAGGGCTTGATGATTCGGGACACGGTGTATAGAAGAAGCCGGCTCTCAGGGTTTGCGGAGTGGATGGTGGGGCGGCCCGAGGCATGGCGGATGAGCTTGGTGATGGCAAGCTCGTTGAGGATGCGCCCAAGCTGCTCAATGGAAAGCTCTATCGGCGTGCTCTTGACAAGAGAGTAGAGCACGTCACCCTCACACCGGAGGTTGGAGTAGAAGACCCGAATCAGCGTTGGATTGATCTCCTTCCGAGCCCGGGAGACAAACGGCCAAAGGCCGGCTTGGTGAAGCTGCACGTCTAGATCGTCGTAGCCCTGCAACTCCGGGAAGCGCTCCGGGACGATCCGTGGTTGAGCCACAACCTGTTTAGAGAAGAAGGTTAGGAAACGGGTGCGCTCCTCCTCGGAATCGAACCAGAGGTATGATCCGTCGCCATAGTAGAGGCGCTCCTCGGAGTTGGTTGCCGGTGCCAAGGATTTGGCTTTCGATTTGCTGGAAGCTCCTCCCCTGTTCTTATCTTTGCCCATGATGAAGATTTCAAAAAAAAGATTGGAGAAGACAAAAATATGCGAGGGAATGAAGAGATTTGTGTTTGTGTGTGGAGAAGTGAGGAGAGGAGGCTCCAATATATAGGAGAAGAGAGTTCCAACGTTCAAAATTCAAAAAAAATGGCTGTTGGAGTAATTAATACCCATGCCAACGGGTATTTTTTTTGAAAAATTTGACTAAACGGCGATGTTCTACAGGCGACATCGCTGTTGGGACAGCGCTGTTGTGCCTTGTACAGCGCTGTTCTGCGTCAAGTTTTAAAAAAAACAGGAGTCAAAAGGACAGCGATGTTGAGTACCCTACAGCGATGTTCCAAAAGTTTCAGGAATTGTGTAAGGGTTTGAACCCATTAGAACAGCGCTGTTGGGTTTCTCTACATCGCTGTTTTACGATAGAGGAAAAATTTGTAAAAGTGGACAGCGGTGTTTGAAAACTTTCTGGTTTTGTTTGAAAACAAGGTATAAGGGAAAGGGAACTCCCTAGGACAACGCTGTTGGCCTCGTGTACAGCGTTGTTGGCAAACTTTTTGGTTGACGTCGTTTCTCTCAACAGCGCTGTTGGGTCTCCTGGACAGCGCTGTTTGCATGGTTCCCCCTGATTTCATGAACGGGGTACCTGCAAAAAAAGAAAAAGTTCTCCGACGCTCAAGTTAGTAAACGTTTAATAAGTTTAGATGCACAACTTAGATCATCGTGGAGTCAAGGATTCCGAGTTCACTTCGAATGCAGAAGAATGACTCTTTCTCTAAAGGTTTTGTGAAAATGTCGGCTAATTGGTTGTGTGTTTCAACAAACTCAATTTCGACAACACCTTTGAGAACATGATCTCTAATGAAATGATGCCTAATGTCAATGTGTTTCGTCCTTGAGTGAAGAATGGGGTTCTTCGTCAAGCTTATGGCGCTAGTATTATCACAACGAAGAGGGACGTGATTGATACTAAGGCCATAGTCCACGAGTTGTTGCTTCATCCAAAGGATTTGAGCACAACAACTACCGGCGGCTACATATTCCTCTTCGGTTGTGGATAACGCAACACTGACTTGTTTCTTGCTAAACCATGAAACTAAAGAGCTACCAAGTAAGTGGCAAGTCCCACTTGTACTTTTACGGTCCAATTTGCAACCGGCAAAGTCCAAGTCGGAATAGCCAACGAGATGACAAGAAGAGCCTTTTGGATACCACAGTCCAACGTTAACCGTGCTGGCAAGGTATTTCATAATCCGTTTTAGCGCCGTTAAGTGCGATTCCTTCGGACACGATTGATACCTTGCGCAAAGGCAAATGCTAAACATGATATCCGGCCTACTAGCGGTAAGATAGAGAAGGGATCCGATCATACCTCGATACTTTTTGACTTCTACTTCCTTACCTTTCTCGTCTTTGTCAAGATGGTCAGACGTGCTCATTGGGGTCGCCATGGCTTTGGCGTTGTCCATTTCAAATCGTTTTAGGAGCTCCTTGCAATACTTAGCTTGGCAAATGAATGTGCCATCTTTCATTTGCTTGACTTGGAGTCCCAAAAAGAATGTGAGCTCGCCCATCATTGACATTTCAAATTCGCTAGTCATTAGCGTTGAGAATTCCTTGCACAAAGACTCATTAGTAGCACCGAATATAATATCGTCTACATAAACTTGAACCAAAAGGATGTTAATGTTTTTACTCTTGATAAAAAGTGTGGTGTCTACCTTTCCCCTTTGGAAACCACTATCCAAAAGAAATTTACTCAAACGTTCGTACCAAGCACGGGGTGCTTGTTTAAGACCGTAGAGCGCTTTCTTGAGTTTGAAGACATGATCGGGAAACTCAAAGTCTTCAAACCCCGGGGGCTGGTCAACATACACTTCCTCTTGAATAAAACCATTGAGGAAGGCACTCTTAACATCCATTTGATAAAGTTTAAAATCCATAGACGAAGCAAAAGCAAGAAGTAAACGAATAGCTTCTAAACGTGCTACGGGTGCATAGGTTTCTTCAAAATCAATGCCTTCTTCTTGATTGTAGCCTTTAGCTACGAGCCTAGCTTTGTTTCTAGTGATTATTCCATTTTCATCAAGTTTGTTACGGAACACCCATTTCGTACCAATAATCGTACGATCATCGGGCCTTGGCACCAATTCCCAAACGTCATTCCGTTTGAATTGGTTTAGCTCCTCTTGCATAGCCAAGGTCCAATGTTCATCGTTTATTGCTTCGGAAATGGTTGTAGGTTCAATTTGAGAAACAAAAGCCATGTGACCTACGGTGTCCCTAAGAGA